TCACTGCAACCTCCACCTCCCGGGATCAAGCAATTCTCCTGCCTCAGCCACCTGAGTAGCTGGGATTATAGGTGTGCCCCACCATGCCTGGTTAATTTTTGTATTTTTAGTAGAGATGGAGTTTCATCACGTTGGCCAGGCTGGTCTCAAACTCCTGACCTCAAGTGATCGGCCTGCCTCAGCCTCCCAAAGTGCTGGGATTAAAGGCATGAGCCACCATTCCTGGTGAAGGTAACCTTTTTAAAGGAGGACATGCATTTTTATATATGAGTACTGAAATTTGTCTCTTTGTAATGTATTTTTAAAACATTTGAATTTGTCTTATGCAGTAGAAGCCATGCAATAGAGGAATAGCCATTTCCCTATCAAACATGACATTGAGAAAATGTAACCATGTTACATGAGTTTGTTTTGTCTTAGAGCTTTATAGTCTAGGACTAAATGAATAATTAACTAGTATAAAGACCAGACCTTTGTTCTGATCTCTGCTGCTTTTTATGCTAACACTGTGTTTAAAAGTATTATCTCATACTCAAGAGTGATATTAAAAATACTTAAAAACCGATATGGCCCGGTCAGTGATCATTGAGAATATATGCCGGCTATGCCTCCTGGTGTAGTTGCTCGCTGGCAGTACATCCGACCTGCCCAGTCACATCACATAGCACCATTCACTTGCCTGAGTACTTTCATTTCCATTCTCTCAGGTGATCTGGGAAGGGATATAGTGCCATCCCCATTTTGCAAATTGGGGGAATCACATCCCCAAGAAGCTGATGATACGGACCCTTAGGATAAAAGATTTCTGGCTCATAGTTTGGTGTTCTTCCTTGGATAGAAGTTTTCCTCTTTTCAGAGGAGAAGGAAGAGGTGAGAATAGCCATGTTTGATAGGATAAATATCAGCTCCTTTCAAAGAAAACTCATAGTAGGTAGTGGGTAGAATGAGCACCCGCCCCCATCCTCCCTGGAATCTTCCATTCCCAAATGAATTTGTCACTTTCAGGGCCTTTCCAGGAGATGCCTGCCCTGAAAGAGTAAAACTGGCCCAAGCGAGAGAGCAGATTTTTCCTGGTGGAAGAACCTGACTCAGCCTCTTTTCTTCAAATTAACAGGGATGTTATGTACACAGCCTTACTTTAAAAGTACATTCTGTCAATTGCTTGTTTTTCCCTTTCTCCTTCCACAGAATGGTCTCCCCTCAGGGAGCAACCCATATGTTTTTAATGGTGACTTTGTAGATCGAGGAAGGAATTCCATGGAGGTCCTAATGATCCTGTGTGTGAGTTTTCTTGTCTACCCCAATGACCTGCACTTGAACAGAGGGAACCATGAAGATTATATGATGAATCTGAGGTAACCTAGGCCTTTAGATTTTCTCTTTTAAAAGCTTCCCACTCTGGGAAATGCTGCCATATCTAGTTCCTAACAGAGATAAAATGAGTATATTGGAAGAGGGATGAGGGAAATCTCAAAGAGGACCTCCATTCTTCCCCCTTTCCCCACCCCCATTCTTCTGCTGAGTGTCAGTTGCTCTGAAACTCCCTTATTTTATTTTCTTCCAGTTCT